TTCAACATAGCTTGGTAGTTCTAACGCCAATATGGGCTCTTTGTTGACGAATCCCTCCTTGATCTTGAGTTGTCTTTCATACTCCTCCTTTTGCTCGTACATCTCCTCCAAATACTCCTGCTCCCAAGGAGTTAATTCCCTCCCCAAACTTTCGAGGTATTCGAGATCCTCCCAATCCAACTCATCCAATGGTGGGTAAGACATTTTTTTTTTTTTTGACTCTTCGAAAAAAATTCGAACAAACCTGAAAAAATATAAAACAAAGGACTAGATGACACTTTTTTTTAAGACTCACGAAAAAATAATGAAAAATCCGAACAAAAAATTCGAAAAGTTCGAACCAAAAAAGAACAAAATTCGGCCCCCTCAGCAAAAGGCAAAACCGAAAAAAGAAAAAAGATAGATAGACGAAAATACAATCAGCACCTCTCAATGAAAGCACCAATGATGACGGATCGGATTTCTGTCTATTTCCTGTTGTGAATAAACGCGCACTCAGGGCCTTCGTTTACTCACGATAAGTGTATCTAACAGACGCACTATCGGCCTTCTTCTAGACACTGTGACTTCAAGAGAGCTCTAATGGCCTTCTCTCCGACACTGTATGTAAACACGCTCTACGGCCTTGCTTAACACACGTTAGAACATAATGTTTCCCTCTCTAAATTGACTCATCAATTCAATACTTTATTCTCAGACCTTTTAATTATGAAGATACATGAGGTATTTATAGGTGCATAAAATAAATCTAAGCCTAATAGATCTAGATCTCGTAAATCAATAATTAAAAGCAACAAGGTAATAAAATCCTAAAATTACTAAAACTACTAATTGCTTGACTTGCACTCCAAGTATTCTTGAGCTCCAAGTCATCCGCTCCAAACCAATCTCTCGGCCGCCTCATGATTGCCTCTCGCGCAAGTGCGCGTCTCGCACTCCTCGGCGGACTCGGTCTCCCGCGCGTGCCCTTCACATGCGCACGCTGTCGCGCGCGCTTCGTTCACATCGCCTGCTGCCTGCGCGTGCACGCCCCCTTGCTCCTTGCCTAGTCCTACGCGGGTTAGGATCTCCGCGCAATTACCGCACTCGCATGCCTTCGCGCCCCAGATAGCCTCCTCTCGCGCGTGCTGCCGCGCATCCCGTACTCCTACGCCTACGCGGTGTAGGCCTTCGCCCGCATCGCCCTCACTTGCGCGCCTCGCGTGCGCCCTGCATTCACTGCCCAGTTCCCGCGCGTCCTCGCCACTTCCGTGAGTGCCGCGCACGCCCAGCGTGGTCCGCTCGCCCAGCCACCCCTCGCACTCGCTCGTGCGCCTATGCGCACTCGCTGTCCGTCTGCCGCTGCCCTCCGCGCGTGCTAATGCTCGCGCATTGCCCATCCATCCGCAGCAGTCCCTCGCGCGCATCAACCACCCAACATCCACCCCCTGCGCCACTTCGCCTAAACTCCAAGCGCCATGTGCGTCTACGCCAATGCGCGTGTGCGCGCCTTGCTTAATGAACCTATCCATGCGTACTAGCTCCTTATTACGAGACTCCCGTCGACTACCCTGTGTTCGCATCGAATCTTGCCGCTTCTCACATGATCTTGCGCCTCACATACGAGCTCGTACCCATCTTTTAGGCCATGCTTGCATCATTTTGGCCCTATTTTCAGCCTCATCGGGTCCTCTTGGCTCTTGTCCCATCTTTTCGCAGGGGTCCGGAACCCACTTCCGCATCAACGCCCAAACATATTGGCATAGCAGAACGAAGGAATACGACTCTTATAGAGATGGTTAGGTGTTTTATAGTATTTTGTAAAGTAGATAGTAACATAATTACCCGACCTTGGCGTTCTCAAAGGAAGGCTATTCGAGCTTCGTCTACTACTCAATTGCCCAAAACTCACAAAAAAGGGAAAACAAAGACCTAAACATGCTAATCAATAGATTGGGGATTGAGTTAAACACTACTCGCATTTGGAAATCAAAAGCAATTGAAACTTGAAAACAAAGATGAGATATTTAGGTCAATCGGAGTCTCTATCACTCGAATAAACACAAAGAACCGAGAGACATCAAAGTAGTCAAGTGATCCTAGGTGATTAAGTATAGCTTTCTACTAGTGACTACTCTTTAAGTCGACTTTGCATCACGAAGGTGAAGGTGTTTGAGCTCCTCCTCCAACGAGGCTCACTTGGCAAGCACGACATCATTCGAAGAACCGGACGATTGTGTAGCCTCATTCACAAGGGTCCTCTTGCGAATGCTTTTCCTTTGGAAATTTTCGCTCAACATTTCGTAGAGCTCATAGATCTCTTCCGCCGTGTGACTCCAGATATGTCAACCCCGACCACATGGTCAACTATATATTAGAGAGTTTGATGTAGCCCATCGTACAAAAATTGATTCAACACTCTCAAGAAAAAATGGTGATGTGTGCATTAAAGTTAATACCTCTTAAATCTCTTCCAAGCCTCATGGAATGTTTCTCCAGGGTTTCGGCTACAGCTAGCCATTTGAGCTCAAAGGCCGGTTGTATTTCGATGCGAGTAATACTTGCCCATGAACTTTTCATAGACCGCTTCCCAGGTATTGAGTGAGTTCAGGTGCAATGTCATGAACCAAGTCTTGGCTCGATCCTTCAACGTATATGGAAAGCATCTCATTCAGAGTTTGTTCTCGGAAAGGCCTTGGAGGGAAAACGTGTTGACCGTTGAGTAAAAATCCCGGATAAAGTTAAGTGCATTTTCTTAAAGTGCAATAGAATGACAGAAGTTTGTTGAGATGGATAGTCTTGAGGTCATAGTTTCGGGCCGCTTCTCTGAGCACGAGGCATGAGGTATTATCTCCAATAATCAGTCAGGCAAAGTACCTCATGTTCGAGGGAGGTGGTGGTAATTGTTCTCCTTGGTCCGCCATCAGTTCGGGTTCGAGTTGTTGCTCGTTTATGTTAAGCTCAACGTAGAGGTCGATTGGTGGTGTCTCCTCTCGGGGTCCACGTTTTCGTCTACCTCGCATAAACCCAAACAAACACTATACCCGTGAACGCACCAAAAGAAAATGTAAAATCGAAATCAACAAACACAAACTATCTACGAAAAACAAGAGAAATCAAGAGAAATACGAAAATTAAGCAAGGATCACAAAAATCAAGAGAAACAGAAAAAAAAGGGACAATTACGTAGAAAATTAGGCGTCCTACTTGCCTTCCCCGGAAACAGCGCCATTTGTTTGATAGTATTTTGTAGGGTAGATGGTAACCGAGCTACCGACTTCAGGTCGCTCTCAAAGGAAGGCTATTCGGAGCTTCGTCTACCACTCAATTGTCCAAAACACACACAAACGGGAAAACAAAGACCTAAACATGCTAATCATGGATTGAGGATTGAATTAAACACTACTAGCAATTGGAAATCAAAAGCAATTGAAAACTTGAAAACAAAGATGAGAGCTTTTGGTCAACCGGAGTCCCTCTTACTCGAATAAACACAAAGAATTGTGAGACATCAAAGTTGCCAAGTGATCCTAGGTGATGAAGTCGAGCTTTCTACGCATGACTACTCCTTAAGCAAAGCCGCAACCCTTAAACAAGATAAGCACGAACTAATCCCTAACACACATCGACAAGCAACAAGAATCGAACATTTCCCCATTCAACAAGCAAGATACTGATATCTCCTCGAAACACGTCATAAGCAAAAATGGGTAAAATCAAAGTAATGAGGATTAAAGCTAATTACCCACTCTCTTAATGCATGAGTGAAGAACACCAGATAAAAGTTTGAAACTTGAAATAAAATGATGTCACCAGAAACTTGGCAGGAAATACGAGTCATAAAGCTCCTAAGGAGAAGTAGAGAGCAAAATAGGAAAATAAAACATTTCCCAAAGTAGGAAAGTAGGAAAAATGAAAGATGGATACCAAATAACAAAGGACTAATTGTATTTATACCAATTGGCTAAAAAACGCACTAAAAACATGCATATTAAGTAGAACACTCGCGAGCTCGCTGAACGGCCCGCTGGTCACGGGCACAGATGGCAAGGCGCGGGCTTGGCACGGGGGACTCGCGACGTCGCGGATACGGGCGCGGGAGCGGGCGCAACAGGGACAACACTCGCGAGGGCGTAGAAGAGGATGCGGGTCGTGGAAGGATGACGAAGCGTGGTGCGGCAAGGCGACACTCGCGAGGTCGCGGGATGACCCACGTGGTCGCGAGTGCTGGGCACCGCGACACTTGCGAGGTCGCGTACTTCTCCGCATGGTCGCAAGTTTGCCGGAACCTGGGTGACACGGCGCACGTGAGTACGCGGGCTGGGGTGCGAAGTCTCGGACATGACAGGGCACGAGATACGCCATCAATCGCCAAAGGTACGAAATGCTCGAATATGATCGAAAACAGCTCAGGGTCACTGGAAATTGCTCGCGTCTCGGGAATTGATTGGGCAAAACTCAGAAAAACCTGGAAACTAGACGTGGCCACGAGTCAACCGGCCCACCGACCCGACACAGACCCGATCCGTTCAAACCCGTTGACCACGGGTCCGAGCCCGGCTGGGATTTCAACCGGGTCGATCCAGGGGTTGGAATTTTTTCGACCCTGACCCGGTGAGCTGGGTCGTGCCGGCACGGAAAAAACATATGGTTTTCAATTTTTTTTTTCTTTTTTTATTAGGCTGGGCCCAGACCCGGGCCAGACAGGGTCATGAACCCGGCACGGACCTAGGCCGCGCCGGTTCAGGGTCCGCCAAACCCAACCCGTCGGTCTGCCTGCCCCAGGCCAGGCCCGGGATTTGGCCATATCTACCGGAAACAACTCCAAATTGGCTCAAATGACTCGGATAAGGTTCGGACATGGCTCAGAAATGTCTTGGAAAATAGTATGAACGACACGTATCCTCGAAATTGTAAATTTGGCCCTAAGAAACACACCAAAAGAGACGCGAAAATAGGGCACAATACAAAAACATATAGCGAAAACAAAAACACATGAAATACGACAAAATGGGTCGATTGACACTCAAACGAAATTAAAAACGACTTGAGCTGAAGAACATAAAACACAAGAAAATACGTACAAAAACATAACAAACATTAGCGCAATGATGAGTTATATTACTTTACCAAATTCATTTGTCATATGCCCAACAGTATATATCCTGAACAAGGTACCTTCTAAATCAGTACCGTCTACACCTTTAGAGTTGTGGTCTTGACACAAGCCCAGTTTAAGACATTTCCATTTTTAGTCCAACACATGTGTTGAAAGCATATAGTGATAAGTTAGAATCTAGAACAAAAATAAGGCTGTTTGTAGGATATACTAAGAAAACAAAAGGTGGTCTATTCTATAGCCCTTGGGACCAGAAAATGATCGTTAGTATGAATGCTAGGTTCTTGGAAGAAGAATATGTACGTAACGGACCATAAGTCCAGTAGTAGACATGTCCTAGAGGATATAAAGGGGGTTAATGCTTCAATACCGAGTACATCTGATGTTACACCACAAAATACTGCAACACGTATCATTGACGATGTCATAGTGGGAGGGTTGTCCGATAGCCCAAACGATTGATGTTTCTGGGAAAGTATTTTGAGACTGTTCCGAATGGACTGTACATCGACCCATGCACATATGATGAGGCACTTCAAGATCTGGATGAAAGTATGAAAGTATATTGTTTATATTACATGGAATGAATTTATAGGATCT